TTACATACTCCGTGCTATTACTAAGATTGTTCGATGTTCGATCCACCTGGGGCGGGGATTGAATGGGAGATCACTCGCTCTTTAGACTTCTCAACCTAGGTATAACCTGTTAATAAACCCCACCCCCGAATATTTTAATTCATTTCAAGCTTTCCAACAGAACTTTAGTTTAATCGTTATTTCCAACTAGTCACCGACACTACGTATAACAAGCACTCCGTACTTCACTATATAGTCTCTGCAGCAAAAAAGTTGCGCTGTAATTAGCGTTCGAGTTTCGAGGCTCGACCTAATTAACGCCAGTTGGAAGCTACTCGTACATCAGTGGAGGCGCTCCAAGGAAGAACAGACACGTTTTTGTGAAGAGCCCTCGAACCACTGCTGACGACAGTTCCGACGATTGGAGTGAAGTGCCGTATTCAGCGCGGCGCTTAACAAAGAGCAAGTTGTTAATCATAAATATAGACGCCATTAATTGATTCATTAGTATTCTATTCAGCGATGGAGGCATGCCGCACGACGCTGCTCTTAATATTATATTGTGATGTCACTAGTAGATGCCTCAAGACTGATTCAAACATTATTTATAATAACGATAATAGGTTGCTTAGATAATTGATCCCATTTTTTTACTTTAGAAGAGAAATCCTAGACATTGCTTACAATCTAACTAGTATATGTGTGTGGCGTGTATGTGTGTGTGTGTGTGTGTGTGTGTGTGTGTGTGTGTGTGTTTTAGATAAAGGAAACCACTGAAACGAGTAAAAATCACAGAAGGACGTGGTACTAGTGGTATGAAATAAAGTATGGAAGGTATGGTATATTATCAGCTCACCGAGGCTGTAGCTCCAGAAGTCCCGGAGAGGCACAGCGCCGCCGGCGCCGCGCCCCCCCAGCACATACACGTGCCCGCCCAGCAGCGTCGCCGAGTGCTTGCCGCGCGCACACGGCGCTGCGCGACCATTGCTGCCGCCGCTCTCCACTGAACTCCACATCTCATCTGAAAAATGATGTTTTTATTATTTATTCCAATTGAAATTCGTCTATGATACGAAACATTTTCATACAAAGTATTTTCTTAATCCTCTGATTCCGTTGTGTTGGATCGGTCGTTGATTTTTGGGTGTATTGGACCCTCAAGAGACCAATACCTTCTGACTACTCTCGAAATATAGACCAATAACACATAGTTATTTATTTTTGTTTTATCTTCCAAAAGTAATACAAAAAAATTTCAAAGTTAAATAAAATATGAAATTGTTGATTGTAAAGCTTTCGACAAGGTAAACCAGATTGCGAGTTTCCCTCCTAAGCAAGCCAAGTTTTCCGACTTCAAAGTCGTGTCCCTTCGAATTAAATGCATTGCTGTTGCTCCCCTTCAATGTGCATAAAAATCAGCAAGTACTCGGCGTGTAGGGTAGATGAAATGCCGGCGTCCCCCAGGGCGCCTCGCCGGAACCCTCCGTTTCAACGTCTCTAAGTATTGCTCATTGCGAATGAATCCCTCCTTGTGCCGTGCGGGGATGCTTACGAGTTATCGTTTACAATGTGTAAATATTATTTACAATCGAGGAGGATGTATGGCATTGAGGGATGTGCCGTACGATTCATTTGTTATTACATGATGTTTTCATTTAGTTTATTTAAATAAATCTAATTATATCAAGTATATAACGTAATATCACTTCAATGATAGCTTTATTTATACACATAAATACAAGACGTCAGTACCTGACTAGTTGTAAACGGATATATTTTTCTGAATGCAGGTGTCACCTAAATAATGTAGGTACATACTCATATTAGTTACCGCAACATTGAACGTATTAAAAGTTTCCACCATTTAATAATTTTTTTAGTTGGCAGTCTTCAAGTGTTCTATATTAGTAAAGAGACGACCGAGGGATGAGATCGGATAAAAAATTGTTCCTCATTTTTCACAAAATTCTGTGAACCTTTGACCTTATTAACTACATGTAAGTAAACTGGTATAAAGTTAAAATTTAGTAGCGGCCAATTCGCTTAACTTATAAAATGTCGGCTGGTAAAAAAAGTTCAAAATAGTTCTTACTTATGTATAGACGCCTCAATTAAAATGGTATGTAAATAAGAGATAGACAAGATTCTCATAGAAATAAGCGTTAACGAATTGACTGGAACTACATAAAGGTTCATGTCATACAGCTAGAAGGCCTGGACGGCAAATAAAGAAACGTATGATGGAAATAATAAAATACCTATACCTAAGTAAACAGAAATACCTAAAGAAGTCTGCCTTAATTTTCCTCTGCCTTAATTAATTGTGATAATGTATTTCACTCGTCCTAACCATAGATGATGTGATCGACACAAACGAAGCTATAGCTAAACTATTATTATTTACATAACACTTACAAGTGTAAGTCAAAATTGGTATCTACCAATGTCATTAGGACCGAGGACGTCTAAATCTGACCTCTTAATAATCCTTTACGGAGACAACACCGCAAACCCTCGTACATCGAGATTATGGCTTCATAAATAGCTGTCCCCTGTCAGAAAGCCGCGTTTATATTTCTCATCTAATATTTAGTGGATCGCCGTATAATTGCTCCCGATGCAGCAACCCTTTGTTTACCACGTGACTTGTTTGACAATTTAGCTGAGACCTCTGGCTGCCAACATATTGGCACACACGTCCATTTATAGTAAAAACACAGGGGAGATCAGCAGGTCTACGTAGGGTGGTCGCGGGTGAAACTGGGAACAACACCGGTGGACGTCTGTGTGAACAGGGAATGACTTTGACAGACTCATCGTGTTATGTTTTAGCAAAAACACTAGGCTATATTGTTTAACTTTTTAGGAAGAGACATTTCCTTTCTACGGTTCATGCCTGTAAAAATGAATGGATTAGGAATTTCAAGAAACTTCACACTTGCATCATTGAGCTCTTGTATGGAATTCAAACCAGGTAGTCAAGGGGCATTTGGGTGAGGGTAATACTTCGTTTAGCTAGCGAATGTAATGCTATGTATATCGTGAGCATTGGCGGGTTAATCAAGACGCTGAGTACGGTCCCGAGCGGGCGACCGCTGCGTCAGACACACGTCGACACTTTTTCAAAACTTAACTGTACAACAGAGCTGAGTCAGTGTTTCCCTACCTCTGTTTGTTGTTGGCTCTGATTACGAAGGTGGATGCAATGTTAGGAAAACTGACACAAAGTGTTTGCAGATAAGCTCCGAAGTTAACTTTTATGGTTGGGTGTTAGGGCGCGGGATGCGGGCAATGTTTGCGTTATCGAGGCAAAGGACACGTGCTCAGCTTTTCATGTTTGTGTCACAAAATTAACTGCTTTTTGTTACGTCAGCAGTGATAGGAAAATTCCTTTTAACTTGCATTGTAATCAAAGCAGGTCGACCAGCCCAAGCAAGTTCCAGAAAGCAGTACAGCAAATGTATAATACTAGCAATGTGATATATATCCACTGTGCCACTATCCTTGTACACATTTATTTATCTCAGCCCTCTCGCTATTAGTGAATGAGATTTAGCTTCAATGAATAATAAATGTGACGGACGAGATAATAGCATATTCCTACCTACCAGCTTCCTTATTGCCTCAAACTCATCTGTCCGTTCAGTTGTGTTGTGTGATAAATGTAGTATCCAATGTTCAGCTTTATTTTTGAGATTGTCTGTGGTAATATAATGAATACCTGATGTTGACGTATCCTAATACCACAGCCAGTACGTTGGTATTTTATTGTCATTTATAATTATATTCTTGTACGACAATCTACTCACACAATCTGACCAAGTAAGTACCTACCTACTCCATGTTTCGACGTGCGTGTATTAAAGGAGGTGAATCAATATCAGTCAATTAGGAGTAAGAAAAGATAAATAAATACACTAACAGATATAATTCTAATAACCTTACCTATAAAAGAAGTTCCAGACTGTTATAGGTGTAAAGTAATAGTGCGGACGAGACTCCATCAGTTCTGAGCCGGGCCCGCACTCTGTCTGAATACTGATTACCAAGATTCGGCTAAATATAACTTAATGCAGTCGACATACATTATTTTGGAGACGTTTCATTTGATTGTATTTGTAAGGCATTTATAAACACGTGTTTTTTATTTTCTTACAGAAACGAATACTTACTTTAGACGATATATTGATTTGAAATGTCGCGTGACGTCACAGTTATGTACATTTTATACGTAGAAATGACATTTTGGCCCCCACTCTAAGCATTGTTTTATTATACGACAAAATAAAAAATACGTGTCTAATATTTTTTCATTACCCTACTTACGGACTAATTATATTTTTGATTTTCATACCCTGTCATCATCCCAATTAGCTAAAACGATGAGCTACATAAATACTACAAAGTTTCTAACTTCTTATCATCTCATCAACAGCCTATAAATGCCCACTGCTGAGCAAAGCCTCTTCTCACACGGAGAAGGTTTGAGCATATCACCACGCTAGCTCAATGCGGGTTGGCGATTACAAACTTATAATTAGAAATTATAAGCCCAGGTTTCCTCACGATGTTTTCCTTCACCGTTTGTCAGGGGAGTCTAGATAATCTTAGAAAGTACATATAAGTATGAAAAATCACATTGGTACTTGCCGTTGGTTGGTTTCGAAACCGCACCCTCATGCATAAGAAGCGGGCGTCTTAAACCTCCGGGCCACCACGACCGTTTCTAACTTAGCATCACATGGGTAAATACAATGAAACTACTTCAAAACACGTATCACGTGCCCATCGACGTCTCTTTCCTTATACCGTGTATTGAATCTAAGATAAATATGTTCTTAATGCCTGATGTGTGATTAAGAAACAGCTGAGCGTGTAGTGTTTGTTACTGGTGCCCGTGATGTCGATGTCGTGCCGCTGCCATCTTTATCTCGAGACATATCCACCTTATACCGATCAATACAATACAGTTCAAAATGGGTCGACTTCGCTTTGCCGAACTCTTGTTTACGTCTAACCAGGAAATAAGTCGAGGAACGTACGCAAAATGTCAGTAAACTGATCATTTTACGATTGAATACAGATTAGAAACTGAGATAACTACTACAATCATATCAATAAATTTTTGTCAATAGTTAGGTCTTATGTATTGGATAACATTAGTCGATACCGAGCCACCCAGATTTTGATTACCTTCACTGGTTCTGATGGCGAGCCCACGAAAAACCAAGTGTATCCCATGTTACAACATTTAATGTTATAGGAATAAAAAAAAATGTTTTGACACAGCAGTAAATTAATAGAATAAATGAATTAGTTGTTGCCGCGCTTCCTCGTGCCGTCACATTACGCCACCGAGTATCTCCGAGCACTTGGCACCGGCTTGTTGACCTTCGGCCCAGTCCTCGGGGGTTAAGCGGCGCGTTATGTCGTGTCGGCGCTCGGGGTGTCAGCTGTGAACTGTGGCTGTGTGAGCTATTCACGCGACCTGTCCTCTTGTCTCAAGTTACACGATCCACACAATACCACGCAGAATTATCACTAGAATAGTTTGAGTTTACGTGTACGGGGCCTGTATACTCTTGACTTCTTTCCGTTTTATTTGTTTTATCATAGTTTTATCCTAACGTTCTTTTTAGATGGGATAATTAGTATTAGTACGTACCTACACGTACATTATCCAAACTGAATAGATACCATACACTTACCTAACATCTAGGTACAACTGCGTATATGTCTGAGTGATGCTTAGCAGAGACAGATGATACTCTTAGTGCTCTAAGCTCATCTGACTAACTAAGCACCACGCCCCATCAATATATTATCATGAACATATGATAATATATCGACAGCATCGAGGGGAGCCAGCAGACAGGTGCCGTCGGGTCCGAGGGTGCAGGGAGGGGGCTGCAGGGGAACAGGGGGAGCAAATTGGATTTGTCGCGCAATACTTACTAGGTACATACATATAGACACAAAGTTCAGTTGGCGAGAGATTTCGTCAGCAATGAGCAAAATCCG